TCAGGGATTAACTAGCGGCTTGGGATCTGCACCAAGTAAATCATTGGTTACTTTACTGATGTGTGACTCAGTAGAAAATGGTGAGACTATTAGCAAAAGGAAAATTTCATCAATAAAAATATCACTCTCGTCAGCTAATCTAAATACCTTGAATATAATTTAGAAGTATTGTTCGTCAAGGAAGGAATAACACAACGGCCAGGTCTTACAGCGACAGAAAATGAAAATTGTGTAAATCCCGGTGGTGTGCGGCGCGGTAGTCTCCTATTGGCTACTGTGTTTCAGGTCAGTTATCTAGTCAATTAATTTCAATGTCGAGGAGCGAGAGAATATAATTTTCCTCAATATATAATCAACTGAGCACCCGTTTAGAACATTGACTTTGTGGTGACATCAAGTACTCACGGCTAATCCATCCGTTAGTAAAGTTATCTCGCCATTCAACAACAACAAGAGGTTTCCGTTTACTGCTAATTTCATTTGGGTATGAGTAAATCCCTCAACTAATTGTAATTCTCACTAGAAAAATTATTTAAACAGATATTAATGGTTTATTTTCACGAAAACATTGTGAGAGAGGATGGGATGTGATGGTGAAGTAGACAACACAGACAACAGTATTCAGTGTCTCGTTGTCTTGAGCGACTTTGAGGGAAAAACTTGAGGGTAAAGTGATCACGTGTATTAGGGGGGCGTTATTGACCCGAGATAACCAGACGCTACATAACCGTGTCCCAACTACGGGTAACAGACGAGTTGTGTGAGCTTTGAGGAGTCTGTATTTGACACATAGTTGGGTTAAGACGTTTGACATCTGGCTGAGGTTAGACACTTGATACTTGACTGAGGTAAGACACTTGACATCTGGCTGGGATAATATCAGAAATATATTGAGATAATCACTACAAGATATTGATCAACACAGTTTTTCAAGGAACAAAATATGAATAATAAAGTTTATTTTCTTTGACCTTAGCATTGTCGAGTGGTATTAACAGTTCCCTTCTATTTTGTTTCATTTTATTGAACTGAAAAATAAAAACAATGTAAATAGCTTCTGCTTCCGAAATAAAAACACAACAGGAGCGAAGTAAAAAAAAAAAAAACAATAGCAAGTTAGATTATACAATAGTGGGTCTTTTGAGCGCCGAAACTCAATTGAAAACTCACCTGACTCACATTAACACAAAACAGGTGAAAATTAACTTACAAAAGGCGGGAACACATAGAGACTTAATCATAGTAAAATGTGTTACAAAATACAGAGGAAATTACATCGCCTCATATACAATATCTAATTAAATGTACATCCAGGAATTCCCGGCTATATCAAGGTACATAAATTATAGTTTATTGTAAAAAATGTGAATAACAAGTATTAGTTAAGAAAATATTTGGCAACACTGTTTGCTAAGAATAGTAGGATCTCCTTCCTAGTGAGACACATTCCTTACCTATTGGAATCTGTAACTTGTGTGTCTCATCTATAAACCTAACCAATGTTTACTAAGTTCCTTCCTAAATCTAAATTACTCTTAAGTCCTTCTTAACTTCTTTTGTCTTGATAAGATAGTTTAAGTATCTTATTTATATTACCCTTGTTTAACCCCATCTTCCATTTGTAGGTACATTTGGACGTCCCTGAGATAGTCTCTAAAAGCGCCGCTGCCCCTGGAAGTGTCCCTGAGGTCGCCGCCGCTCCTGGAAGGGTGCCTGGTCGAGTGGCCACCCATGGAAGGGTGCCTGGAGGCACCGCCTTCCCTAGGAGATTCTTTGGGAGCGCCGCCGTCCCTGGGAGGGACCATAGAGGCGCCACCGCCCTGAGAGGGTCCCTGGGGAACTCACCGCCTCTGAAAGGGTCCCTAAGGACGCCCTCATCCCTGGGAGGACCTCTAGGGGAACTGTCGCCCTTGAGAGAGCCCCTGGAAGCACCGCCACCCTTAGGAGGGTCCCAGGGGCGCCACTGCACCTGTGAGGGTCCCTGAGAGGGCCTCTGAGAGCGCGAGCGCTGCAGGGCCCCTGAGAGCAGTAGTTTTTGCGCTATTTGAAACTCTGGGAGATGCTGAGTTAAATAAATAAATACACAGCCCATCACATTTCAAGTATCATCGCATTCTGAAAAAGCTAACGGAGAATAATATCCAACAGGAAAACATAAGTTGAGGTCTTGTGCCGACTGACTGTTCTCCTCTCCTATTGGCTGTAATTTTGTGGGTTAAAAGAATAGTCCACCAATCATAGTTCAGTAAGGGACTGCTGGAAGTATGTAATATTTATGAAACAACGAACAAGCATGCCCGTCGTCCGTGGTAGGGTCCTTGCAGGTGCCGCCGTCACAGAGAGGGGCACTTAGAGAGTCCCTAGGGGCGCCGCTGTCCCTGGAAGTGTCTATGGGGGTGCTACCGCCTGTGGGAGGGTCCCTGGGGGCGCCCTCGCCCCTGAGTGGGCCCCTAGGACCGCCACCACCCCTGGGATGGTTTCTGGGGGCGCCACTGTCCCTGGGAGTGTCCATGGGGGCTCCGACGCCCTCTGGGAAAGACTCTGGGGATGTTGCCACCCCTGGGAGTGTCCCTGGGTAATCCCTGGTGATCTCGACGCCCCCCTGGGAGGGTCCTTGGGGGCTCCACCGTCCCTGAGAGGGTCCCTTGGTGCGCTGCAGCTCCTGGAACGGTCCCTGGGTCCGCCGCTGCTCCTGGGAGGGTCCCTGGGGAACCTGCCGTCTCTGAAAGGGTCCCTAGGGACGTCACCATTCCTGGGAGGACTTCTAGGGGCGCCGTCGTTCTGAGAAAGTCCCTGTGGGGCACCACTACCTTTTGGAGGGTCCCTGGGGGCGCCACTGCCCCTGTGAGGGTCCCTGAGGCGCCGCCGTCCCTGAGAGGGCCGCTGGGAGCGCCAGACCTGTAGGGCCTCTGGGTGCAGTAGTTTTTGCGCTATTTTGAACTCTGGGAGATGCTGAGTTAAATAAATAAATACACAGCCCCATCACATTTCAAGTATCATCGCATTCTGAAGAAGGTAACGGCGAATAATATCCAACAGGAAAACATAAGTTGTGGTGTTGTGCTGACTGACTGCTCTCTTCTCCTATTGGCTGTAATATGGTGGGGTTAAAAGAATAGTCCACCAATCATAGTTCAGCACAGGGCCGGATTCTGGAGTGGGCAAAGTGGGCAGCTGCCCAGGGGCCACCACAATCTGGGGGCCCCCACATATTACAATATTTTTATTTGTTTATTCATTTGGATTATTTTTATATTCATTCTTTAAAATTCATGTTTACCTATTCCATCACGTAAACTATGTTCAGCAAGAAGCGTGATAGAAATTAGGCTAGCTTCTCCTTGAAATTCATGAATACCTGGTTTTCCTATGAACCGTAAATTTTTAATGAAGGCTATTGTTTGTGTTGCTAATAATATATTTAGAATTCCACAAATTTTTGACATGTGCAGTAGTAGCTATATCAGGGCTGGTTGACTTGAAACCACATGAATGACTCCAGTCATGTCTCACTTTTGTGTGTGTGTGTGTGTGTTGGGAATTTGTACACTATCAATAAATATACAGTTAATTAAAAATTTCTCAATGTTCTAATTTCCCCAATATAACTGCATATAGCTTCAAAATTCTCCAAAGATGTGTTCAAATTTCAAAATTTTCCCGGGAGGCTTACAGCGCCCCCCCAAAACTCCCAGATGTTTAGGCTCGCTTCACGCGCCACCCTACCCTCTTGGGTAGTTATAATGAGTGGGGCCTCCACAAAGAGGATGCCCATGGGCCTCCACACGTCTAAATCCGGCACTGGTTCAGCAAGGGACTGCTGGAAGTATGTAATATATATGAAACAACGAACAAGTATTTCATAGGGTCCATGGTACCCTTGGAAGGGTCCCTGGGGGGACACCGCCTGTGGAAGGGTCCCTGGAGGCGCCATCGTCCCTAGGAGGGTCCATGGGGCGCTACCACCCCTGTGGAGGATCTCTGCAAGAGTCCCTGGGGGAGCCACTGTCTCTGGGAGTGTCCATGGAGGCGCCACCGCCTCTAGGAGGGTAGAAGGAGGCGCTGCTGTCCCTGGAAGTGTCGATGGGGACATCACCGCCTGTGGGAAGGTTCCTGGGAGCGTCACTGTACCTGGTAAGGTCCCTGGGAACGCCGCCGCCCCTTAGAGGGTCCCTGGAAGTGTCACTTATTAAGCCACAGCCCTTGTGAAAGTCCCTCGTGGTGCCCCCGACCCTCAGTGGGTTCCTGGTAGCATCACCATGCTTGGGAGGGCCTATGAGGGCACCGCCGCTTCTGAGAGGGCCTCTGGGAGCACCAGACCTGTGGGCCCCTGGGTGCAGTAGTTTTGTGCTATTTAGAACTCTGGGAGATGCAACGTTAAATAAGTACACCGCCCATGACATTTCCAGTATCATCGCATTCTGAAAAAGGTAACGGAGAATAATATCCAACAGGAAAACATAAGTTGTGGTGTTGTGCTGACTGACTGTTCTCTTCTCCTATTGGCTGTAATTTGGCGGGTTAAACGAATAGTCCACCAATCATAGTTCAGCAAGGGACTGCTGGAAGTATGTAATATATATGAAACAACGAACAAGTATGCCATAGAGTCCTTGGTATCCTTGGAAGGGTCCCTGGGGGGACACCTCCTCTGGGAGGGTCCCTGGAGGCGCCACCGTCCCTAGGAGAGTCCTTGGGGCGCCGCCACCCCTGTGGAGGGTCTCTGCAAAAGTCCCTGGGGGAGCCACTGTCCCTGGGAGTGTCTATGGGGGCGCCACCGCCTCTAGGAGGGTACAAGGGGGCGCTGCTGCCCCTGGGAGGGGCACTGTAGGAGTCCCTATGGGCGCTGCTGTCCCTAGGAGTGTCCTAGGAGGCGCCGCCGCCCATAAATGGGCCCCTAGGAACGCCACCACCCCTGGGATGGTTCCTGGGGACACCGCCCTTCCGTGGGAGTGTCCATGGATCGCCGACGCCCACTCGGAAAGACCCTGGAGGTGCTGCTGCTCCCGGGAGTGTCGCTGGGTGATCCCTGGGGATGTCACCGCCCCTGGAAGTGTAATATGGAGCTCCACCGTCCCTGAGATGGTCTCTAAATGCCCTGCTGCCCCTGGAAGGGTCCCTCGGGTCGCTGCCGCTCCTGGGAGGGTCCCTGGGCGTGTCGCCACCCCTGGGAGGGTGCCTGAAGGTACCCCCTTCCCTGGCAGGGTCCTTGGCAGCGCTGCCGTCCCTGGGAGGGACCATGGAGGCACCACCGCTTTGAGAGGGTCCCTGGGAACTTACCGCCTCTGAAAGGGTCCCTAGAGATGCCACCATCCCCGGGAGGACCTCTAGGGGAACTGTCGACCTTGAGAGAGCCCCTGGAGGCACCGCCACCCTTAGGAAGGTCACTGGGGGCGCTACTGCACCTGTGAGGTTCTCTGGTGCCACCGTCCTGAGGAGGGCCTCTGAGAGCGCGAGCTCTGTAGGGCCCCTGAGTAAAGTAGTTTTTGCACTATTTGGAACTCCGGGAGATGCTGAGTTAAATATACATACAGCCCATCACAATTCTAGTATCATCGCATTCTGAAGAAGGTAACGGGGAATAATATCCAACAGGAAAACATAAGTTGAGGTGTTGTGCTGACTGACTGTTCTCTTCTCCTATTGGCTGTAATTTGGCGGGCTAAAGGAATACTCCACCAATCATAGATCAGTAAGGAACTGCTGGAGGTATGTAATATATATGAGAGCACCAACGAACAAGTATGCCATAGAGTCCTTGGTACCCTTGGAATGGTACCTGGGGGGACACCGCCTCTGGGAGGGCCCCTGTAGGCGCCACCGTCCCTAGGAGAGTCCTTGGGGCGCCGCCACCCCTTCGGAGGGTCTCAGCAAAAATCGCTGGAGGAGCCACTGTCCCTGGGAGTGTTCATGGGGGCGCCACCGCCTCTGGGAGGGTACAAGTGGGCGCTGCTGCCCCTGAGTGAACCCTTGGGAACGCCATCACCCCCGGGTATGGTCCCTTGGGGCGTTGCTGTCCCTGGAATTGTCCATGGGGACATCACCGCCTGTGGGAAGGTTCCTGGGAGCGTCACTGTACCTGGTAACGTCCCTGGGGGCGCCGCCGCCCCTTAGAGGGTTCCTGGGAGTGTCACTTGTTAAGCCACAGCCCTTGAGAAAGTCCTTCGTGGTGCCCACGCCCCTCAGTGGGCCCTTGGTGGCGCCACCATGCTTGGGAGGCCCCTGAGGGCACCGCCGCTCCTGAGAGGGCCTCTGGGAGCACCAGACCTGTGGGCCCCTGGGTGCAGTAGTTTTGTGCTATTTAGAACTCTGGGAGATGCAACGTTAAATAAGTACACCGCCCATGACATTTCCAGTATCATCGCATTCTGAAAAAGGTAACGGAGAATAATATCCAACAGGAAAACATAAGTTGTGGTGTTGTGCTGACTGACTGTTCTCTTCTCCTATTGGCTGTAATTTGGCGGGTTAAACGAATAGTCCACCAATCCTAGTTCAGCAAGGGACTGCTGGAAGCATGTAATATATATGAAACAACGAACAAGTATGCCATAGAGTCCTTGGTACCCTTGGAAGGGTACCTGGGGGGACACCGCCTCTGGGAGGGCCCCTGTACGCGCCACCGTCCCTAGGAGAGTCCTTGGGGCGCCGCCACCCCTTCGGAGGGTCTCTGCAAAAATCACTGGAGGAGCCACTGTCCCTGGGAGTGTCCATGGGGGCGCCACCGCCTCTGGGAGGGTACAAGGGGGCGCTGCTGCCCCTGAGTGAACCCCTGGGAACGCCACAACCCCCGGGTATGGTCCCTTGGGGCGTTGCTGTCCCTGGAAGTGTCCATGGGGACATCACCGCCTGTGGGAATGTTCCTGGGAGCGTCACTGTACCTGGTAAGGTCCCTGGGGGCGCCGCCGCTCCTTAGAGGGTCCCTGGGAGTGTCACTTGTTAAGCCACAGCCCTTGAGAAAGTCCCTCGTGGTGCCCCCGCCCCTCAGTGGGCCCCTGAGGGCACCGCCGCTCCTGAGAGGGCCTCTGGGAGCACCAGACCTGTGAGCCCCTGGGTGCAGTAGTTTTGTGGTATTTAGAACTCTGGGAGATGCAACGTTAAATAAGTACACCGCCCATGACATTTCCAGTATCATCGCATTCTGAAAAAGGTAACGGAGAATAATATCCAACAGGAAAACATAAGTTGTGGTGTTGTGCTGACTGACTGTTCTCTTCTCCTATTGGCTGTAATTTGGCGGGTTAAACGAATAGTCCACCAATCATAGTTCAGCAAGGGACTGCTGGAAGTATGTAATATATGTGAAACAACGAACAAGTATGCCATAGAGTCCTTGGTACCCTTGGAAGGGTCCCTGGGGAAACACCGCCTCTGGGAGGGTCCCTGTAGGCGCCACCGTCCCAAGGAGAGTCCTTGGGGCGCCGCCACCCCTGTGGAGAGTCTCTGTAAAAGTCCCTGGGGGAGCCACTGTCCCAGGGAGTGTCTATGGGGGCGCCACCACCGCTGGGAGGGTACAAGGGGGCGCTGCTGCCCCTGGGAGGGGCACTGTAAGAGTCCCTGGAGGCGCTGCTGTCCCTAGGAGTGTCCTTGGAGGCGCCGCCGCCCATAAGTGGGCCCCTAGGAACGCCACCACCCCTGGGATGGTTCCTGGGGACACCGCCCTTCCGTGGGAGTGTCCATGGATCGCCGACGCCCACTCGGAAAGACCCTGGAGGTGCTGCTGCTCCCGGGAGTGTCGCTGGGTGATCCCTGGGGATGTCACCGCCCCTGGAAGTGTAATATGGAGCTCCACCGTCCCTGAGATGGTCTCTAAATGCCCTGCTGCCCCTGGAAGGGTCCCTCGGGTCGCTGCCGCTCCTGGGAGGGTCCCTGGGCGTGTCGCCACCCCTGGGAGGGTGCCTGAAGGTACCCCCTTCCCTGGCAGGGTCCTTGGCAGCGCTGCCGTCCCTGGGAGGGACCATGGAGGCACCACCGCTTTGAGAGGGTCCCTGGGAACTTACCGCCTCTGAAAGGGTCCCTAGAGATGCCACCATCCCCGGGAGGACCTCTAGGGGAACTGTCGACCTTGAGAGAGCCCCTGGAGGCACCGCCACCCTTAGGAAGGTCACTGGGGGCGCTACTGCACCTGTGAGGTTCTCTGAGGTGCCACCGTCCCTGAGAGGACCTCTGAGAGCACGAGCCCTGTAGGGTCCCCGAGTGTAGTTTTTGCACTATTTGGAACTCTGGGAGATGTTGAGTTAAATAAATACACAGCCCATCACAATTCCAGTATCATTGCATTCTGAAGAAGGTAACAGGGAATAATATCCAACAGGAAAACATAAGTTGATGTGTTGTGCTGACTGGCTGTTCTCTTCTCCTATTGGCTGTAATTTGACGGGTTAAGCGAATAGTCCACCAATCATAGTTCAGTAAGGGACTGCTGGAATTATGTAATATACAGTATATGAAACAACGAACAACCATGTCATAGGTTCCCTTGGGACCCTTGGTAGCGTCCCTGGAGGGGCTCCACCCCAAGGAGTGTCCCTGGGGGCGCCGCCTAAATCTGACTGTCGTGGTGCTGTCTTCTCATAAGCTTTTGTTACAAAGCGAAATACTTTCGAATCTGTCTTCGCTTCCTTCACCTCGCAGTCTATTTTTGCCTCACAGTCCACCCTTCTTGATTCTTCTGGTTAATTCACTAATAACTTTGATTTAATTGATTTTTTTTTCTGCGTAATAATAACATTTACTAGTTTATGCATCAATTTTGGATCATTATTATTATTCATTCTTAATTGTTTCTATGGTATGAATAATTCTTCATTATCATTTATAATACTTTTGAATGTATGATGAGACTCATCTACTGTGTTCACCTGTTGTAGTCTATGATGTTGAGGTTTATAATGTATTAGTGTGCGTCACCAACTAGTATATTTAAGTATGCATTCCAGGTTAGTAGAGACAC